ACCGAATGCTATAGCAACAATTTATAATGGTATACCAAGTATACAGTTGGCAGTCAACTCTTTTAGATCCGATATCGCGGAACTAGGTTCATGTAAACAAATACGGCCTCTCTAGATAGGAAGAAATGCTTTTTTCACAGTCTCTTCGCGTTGAAAGCCCACTGATGCTTACCAAAATAGCATGTGTGCCAGCGATCACGACCACGCCCTTAAATTATGTCTCCCCCCCCCCACCTCCTGTGCGTTTTTGCATGCTCGTTCAATACGGATGGCTTCCTTTTTGTTTGAACATTCGACCGCAGTTCTAACACGCGCGGGGATGTTATCGTATGTTCCCTCCAGGTAATAGAGATGGGCCGGCTGATTTTATCTCTGCTTCAGTTCTGCTCACACGCTTTTACCCACTCATAAAAGTTAGGATGCACATGGGCATGTTATCAATTTGTACTTCTTACGGAACATGGCTGTGACGGCAAAAGCCAGCCATGAGTGTTCATATAATTGCTATCACAATATTAACACAGTTTTTTTTACTGTTAAGGGGGGGCGTGGCAAGTAAAACTAATTTTTTTTATTAATGTACTGTTTGTGATGAAATTTGGTGTGTGTATGTGGATGATTTTGAGGATTCCAAATATGAAAACTGTTGTCGAATACCTCTTGTACTTTTTGAGTTACAAGCATAATTATACTAATTAATGCTCTTCACAATTAAAGAGATAATTATTGCTAAATGAAATTATTTTTTCATAATATTATGTTCCCAAAGCATCAACTTGTGCAAAGAAGCTATTAGTTGATTTTTCTAGTTCATAAAACCATAAACAAAATTTCCAAAACATGGACGTTGTTTTGCGCACACATCGCAGTGATTATAAAATGTGTTCTAAAAATTTTAAATAATGAGTAAGAAGAAAGATAAAGCTTTATTGCACTGCTAAAGGCCTCCTGAGCCTAGTGCAAAAAACGGAACGACTCTATCAGTCTTTGTTAGAAAATGACAGATGTTCTCGCGAAGGCACATAGGCGAAAATCAAGAGTTGAGAAAACTGACTTTGAAAGTTCACTCTTGTTTGGAAGTTCACAACATGCCTAAAACACTCAGAATCCTCCTGGGCAGTAATCCTGAGATGCTGTGGCCTTGGTCTCTGTAGAGCACAACCCAGTTTCGCACTTCTTTGTTGTGGAACAATGCGCCTTTTGAGCCCTCTTTACCCTTTTGGCATCCTTTTCGGCTGCTCGCCGCAAAGAGCAGTCTCGTGGATTGAAGCCCAGTTGAGCAGTGATCTCTTGCAGCGCACTCTTGCAGCCACCATTGAAACGGCAGACTGCATCTGCAACTGCACTTTCCACACTCTGAAGGGAGGCGAACTGGCTCTTGGACTGGAGTGACCAAATGACGCTGTTCATACTCTCCACAGCGTTCTGGGTTTTTCCCTGCGCACACCTTTCAAGGAGCTCTTTGTTCGAGAGGCGCTTGTAGATTGGCAGCAGTGCCACTCGCACGTGAGGGGGCAGTTTATGTTTGTGAGGCGGCAGCGGCTCTCCCTTGGCCAATGCCTGATTGTGCGGGCACCAGTAGTCGGTCCCACTTGGGCACAGGTCGTGGTGTGGATCCTGGTCTGTGGATGTTACATGGTAATAAGTGGCCATGATGGCCCTCTCCATGCCAGGAACATCGTTGGGGTGGCTCTTAATGGCCCAGCCATAATAATTCGTTAACTTCTTTATCAGGCCCTGCGTCAGCCGGCCTTTGCCACCCATGCTCAGTCCTCGGCCTTTGGATTTGTGCTCATCAAGAAGGCTGCGCAAGGAAGTGCCCATTCTTTTTTTCACATGGTTCACACACTCCTGTTTCTTGATCACCATGTAGCCATACACCTTGTCTTGCGTGAGGGCAAGGTACGTACGCCTGTCACCGTCACAGAGCACATTGATGTATCAAAGCTTGTACTTGGTAAACGATCTTTCAAACATGATCTTAGCTGCTTCTACTTCCATTTAGCCTGCATTAGCATCGGTGTTCTTTTGGCACTGTGGCTTGTGTTTCTCAAGCCACTCCTCATAGTTGTCATCACCAGGCTTGGGGCCAACAGCACAGCCTTGGCAGTAGTTGGACAGTACACAGTGGTCCAAGACCAAGTCTGTGTACAGCTCGATTACACAGCCCACGCCAATATGACTTCTGTGCCCCCTCATCATCCACGTGCCGTCGTAAATGACGTCAATGTTGCCTGGCACTCCTCCTAGGTCCTTGTAAATGTCATGCACCTTCTGTGCACTTTCTGCTTCAATGCGGGTGGCAGCTGATGTGGTGGCAGGGTGGCTGTACTTCCTTTGCAGTCTCTGGTAGGACTTGTGGTGCAGTGCTCGATGCGAAATGTCCATCGCAGAACAAATGTCATTTATGACAGATTGTTTTCTGCCAACTGACTGCACAGCCCTCAAAGCACGCACGCTTACCTCAAAGGGGTTCGTTTTTTGTTGCCCGGAGCACCTCGGGGACGACCATTGTCACAAAAAAGTTCCATCCTCGCCGCGAGTCCAAGGCAGTGCGTAGTCTTGAGGCGTATCGACCCTTCGTCGCACTTGTTGCACTTTGCTGACGAAAGCAGACCGTTCAGCATCTTCTTATTTACAATGAAGAATGTGGAGTCCTTACTGCCGTCATTTTCGTCGCAGCCTTCGTTTAGAAGCTCGAGCTTCCGCTTTGAAGCGGACTTCGATGCTACGGCATCCAAAACATCCCGCCTTGTCTGCGCCCGCTGCGCGATTTCTTCACTGCTCGGAATCTGGGCCGAAACTCGCGATAAAATCTTCGACGCGTGAACGCCCGGAGTTGCAACGGCTGCCGACGCGGTGCCACCGCAATCAGGTTCGCGAGAGCGTCCATCACGGTTGACGGCATCCGGCGGTCCGACATACGGCGATGTGGCACCTTCCACACTCTCGGCCTCACAACAATCAGCGAAGGGTCTGAGTAGAGGCTCCGTGACGCTTGAAGAGCATGCTCCGTCCGGAACTGCGACTGGGACGGCAGCCGCAGTCGTCTGCCCTTTGTTCCAAGCTTTCCGACGCTTGCCGTACTTGTGGACGCTCGGAACTTTTTTTGCGGCAACATAGCACCACAGTATGAGCAAGCACTCAGAAGAGACCACCGATGTAAACTAAGCTTGGTAAAAAAAGCACGCGAACTATCACAAAAACAGCAAACTGGCAAAAAACGAAGCGCACGCCGGATGATTCTCGGCGCGGCGGCCGCAGATGCGCTCGCGCTTCCAAGGTTGCCAAGGTGCGCGGCGCAGCTTTGACCAGTAAGAGGTCGTGCCTGCTACCACGTGACCCGCGCAGCCAATTGCCGTTCTTCATTTTCGTTTTTTTACTTGCTCCTCGCGCTTTTATTTTCACTCTGCGAAATACGAGACCGCGACCATCGGGAAGCAGGCTTTCTCCTCTTTCCAAAGCTGCCAAAATGGCGACTCATGGTCAACAACTTGGCGCGTTTGTGCGGCGTGAGCAACACCGTTTCAGGGACTTTTTTTTTTGCACTTTTCGGCGACTAGCCTCGGCAAAAACACTATTTGCAAGATTTGTAGCGCACGTTTTGCTGTAATATTTTAGAACAAGGAAGTTGAAGGTCTGAAGATTACGAAAAAAAATAAATCAGAAAATCGCATATTTTGACCAAAACCGGCACTTTACTTGCCGCGCCCCCCCCTTAAATAACTGTTTTGGGTTATTTCTGCCTTTTGTTCCGGTTTTGTTAAAATTTTGCATTTTTTTTTCGAATTTTTGTACCAAACCTGCATGTAACAAAAATCTTCTTTATAACGAATTTTTCTCGGAACTTGTCAATTTCATTATATCCAGGTTTAATTGTACTTTTTACACCATGTGTGTTGCATGACTAATAATCCTGTACTTCGTTATAACTGATATTTTGTTATATCTGACTTCATTGTATTGAGGTTTGAGTGCATACTTGCAGAAGGAATTCCTACACACTTGAAATAACCAAGGTTGTGTGCACAGTCTGAAACAGCCAAAGTTATGTGTACAGTCGGTCGGTTTTTTTTACAACACAGTTGAAGCATGCACCGAGAACAGAGGCTTGGCTAGCAATTGAGATAAGCATGAGGCTCGGTTACCCTATTGGGACTTACCCCCGTATTCTAGAACGTCCCTTCACTCAAAGCTGCACCTTCACTAGAGAAAGCCGATGGGAGCGCAGTCTCCAGGCACGGCAAGTCACTGCATATCAGCGATAATCTGCTGTGATTCTTGACTAGCACAGTGTCATTTTCAGCCGAGCGGTGATGCAGTGCTCAACTATGTCAAGTGAAGGGTGAAAGTCAATTCGAGGAGCGTTTGTGAATACGACGGTTACTCTCGTAGGCAAACCTCAAGTATCCTCCTACTTTTCCAAATTATGCATGCCGATACCTACAGGATGGCACTGTTGTCACCAAAGGCAGTGATCACAATATCAAAACCAGATATACATTCGTTCTTGCTCTTTATGCTTGATGCATGGCTGCTGGGAAGAGGACCTTACAGGCATACCGTCAAGTAATGCCAGTTGGATCTCTGGTTCAGCAAAGTTGACTTCTCATATGTCATCGAAATCAGTTTTACCACTCCACGTCTCGGTTGCCATCTCAGTGTGTCACTTAGATGTTCACTATTGTGAGACATTGCCTCTACACCTGTCTTCTTTTGCACCGGCGCAAAAAAATATTGTAAGTAATGAATAAACACACTTATTTATTTCTAGGTTAATAATGTATAGCCTACAAGATGTTTGGTTGTGAATAACGCGGGTTCCTTTCACTAAGGATTTTGCTCAAGTTTTTATGCTGCAGCTTAACTGCAGCTGCAGCCACCTCACTATAAAATGCTTTGAAGTAGTTGTACACACAGAATGTTTAAGGGTTAGCTGAAAGAAGTGTTCTAGTGTCGAAGTGAGCTTATTCTGAGGCACTGGTGCTTGTGCCGTGCAGGCTTTACCAGGAGCAGCAGGCGCAGGCATTGGAGCGGCTGCGGCTTCGAACGGCACGTGATCAAGATGCCCTCTGGCACATTATCGTCAGCAAGAGTGGTGGCCAAGAACAGGTGTCTGCTGGCCGGGGTGCGTGCTTGAGCATCGTGTTCTTGACAATCATTGTCAATGCACGTAAACTTAGTTTGTAGTGAACGTGATGTCTGCTGAAATGATTGCACATGACCGTGAATAGGCCCCAAGAGTGTGTCAAGCGGCTTGGTTAAAAGGTTGCTCAAATCCTGTTATTGATAGCTCTGTTTGGCATGATCGCTGTTTCGAAAAAGGATGTAACCAGCGCACATTTATCTTTGCAGCAAGTACAGTTCTACTGCAGATACTTGCTTTGCAGAGGTGTAGTGTATCTTTTCACAGAAGCTGGTTTGTCCTAAATGGTGTTGTCTTTTCTTGCAGTGACCAGTGTGAAGCAGCGGCCAATGGCACCACAGATGTCTGATGTAAAATGCAGAGTGGCTGCCCAGCTTGAAGGAGGTGCGTTGTGCTCTATTATATTGCTACTACAAAGAAAGCTCTTGTCTCTTAAAGGGACTGTGAAATGGTTAGGACAGTTTCTCTTAAAAGCACATTGAGATTGGTAGAGCAAGAATCATTTGCAGACTGTTTCAAGCTTTGTGTCAAGTATGTGATTTATTATCATACCAAAAAAACATTGTGATCCCTCAGAGACGATTCTGGGAAACTAAGGAACATGTCTTTATTATTCGAAGTCTCAGCTGCAATTCATTGTTGGTGGCCGTTCAGCCTCAAAGAAAAGAGTGATGTACAGTGGCTGCTGTTCGTTGTTCTCTTTTGCCATCGGCGCGCTCCCTGTTGCTGCTTTAGTACGGCCTCCTTCCGTCCGATGACATTGGGCAGAACTACTTTGCTTTGGTCTAGCTGGTTCATAGCACTTATTTTGAAAGGGCAGTGCAACGACACGAGAAAAGAAAGACAGAGAGGCAAGGAGCGCTGACTAACAACTGATCATTTATTGCCGTCACCTGTGCATATATATGTGCCTCAACAAAGAGAGAGAAACACGATTGTGACATAGGTAAAAGCAAGATAACATGGTTGCTTCCAACCAGATAATGAAAATCATAAACTAAATATGATAAAAATGATAAAAAGCATTTAGAAAATTCACGCATGCGTGATGAGTGAGACACCACTCTATGAGGAAACAAGAGCACAAAGAATAATGATCAACAACTTTTAGTTCAATTCAATTTTCAAAATTTGTTTTATTGTTTTCTTGTGCAAGACACAAGAAACAAAAGGATGTTGGGGCTAAAGGCATATAGCCTGACAGAGGACCCAACACCCTTGTACACAGTTTGTACATAAAAAAATAAAAATAAAAGACAGCTTTCGCGGCATCCAGACCTTCATGAACAAAAGAAGCAACATAGCAAGGAATAGCTGACAAAAATATCATATTACATTGAATCTGACTGATTATACAAATCTTGTAACATACTTACTACATAACATACTTAAATAACAATCACTCGGGAAGGAATCAGGCTAGAACATTAGAGACATGTGATACATACCGTTATATTTTATAGTTAATAAAATACATGCAGTACAAGATTTTCATCAAGACCTCTCAAGACCTTTCAAGAGAGGTGACTACATTTAAAAGCACTTGTCTCGCAGCCCTTGGACACAAGGGTGCTGATGAGGCACTTGTGCTAGTGCCAAATATTTTTACATGTTTTTATTATCAAACCTTTGTCACCCTTTTTACTATGCATATCACGCCACTGTCATGATCTTAATACTTATGTTTTTACCCGCATTATCGCGAGGAATTTTAAGGCCCCTATACAGCCACGCAACATATCATTGTCCGCATCTGTACTCATCGAAATGGCGCTCTTTGGCCATCAATTGGCCCTTGCGCCACAAAGTGCCAGACATCATCATCAAGATTTCCATCGCCCGACTACTACCATTGCTAACATCAGTATTTTTTTAGGACCCATCAAAAAGTATGTTTTCCTGCATTAGCACTTCTTTAACTTGTACCTTAAATGCTTTTTCTGTACAGTCAAAAATTAAGCTTATGTTCTAATTTGTTTAATATGCAAATTGTTTGATGGGTAAAAGTTTGTTTACCATAATTTGTTCTTGTTCGTTGTGGACGGCGTAAGATTTGGCGGATCGGATAAGTGTGTGTCTAGCTCCTTCAATCAAAAAAAAAACCTCTAAGAAACACGATTTTAGCATCAGAGAAAGCTATGGAAGGCCTGCTGATGCATTTGTCACCTACTTCATGGATGAAAAAAGCCTAGACAATCTCACACTCTGACTTGTCCTTCCCCATCATTAAAAACTGTGTGCTGCTAAAGTCAGGAGAGCAGCTGCAACGCCTGCAATGGTCAGCCAGAAAACCACTAAGTCGTATTCCGTACATTATAATCATGCTTTTTGGCACTTCCATTAAAACACCTGCCAGTTTGACCAATGTACATAAGTCCACAACTCAAAAGAAACTTACAAAGCACGTCAAAAATGCACTCAGTGAACCTGTTTCTGTCTTTGGTTGCGCAGCCAGGCTGTTTACCTCTGTTCGTCATGCCACATAGCCTTGAGAGTTTGCAAGGCACGGACAGTAAAACTTGAAAGTCATGCTTTGATGCAAGTCTCTTCAAGTTATGCGAAATTTTCTGAATGTATGACATAACGTGCACATGCCACATTTTTCTACTAAGTTTCTCTTTTGTTTGATCGTGTTTTATGTTCTGTAACAGGGTTTCACAAGCTGCAGAAATCAATTCAGGGGGATATCCCGCCTCCTTCAGTCTGGTAACCTGCGCGTCGAAGCTAGATGAAATAGCATATGTACAAGACTTATTAAGGGCTGAGTGCAAACAAATTTATTGCGATGCTCCATTTAACAAGGTCAGAATGGCCGCTGTCATGAGGTAACAAAGGTTTATTAGATCTAGGATTGTACTTCCAACAGATATGGTTATCTGTGAAAAACAAGCAAATGTCAATAAATCATCAGGCCTTTCATTATCAGGCCTTTCATGCGTAAATATCAGGCCTTGAGGGATAAGTTAGAGTGTGAGATTGTCTAGGCTTTTTTCATTCATCAAGCAGCTGAGAAATGTGTGAGCAGGCCTTCCATAGGTTTGTCTGACGCTGAAATCGCATTTCTTAGAGGTCTTGTTTGATTGTTGATCATTATTCTTTGTGCTGTTGTTCCGTCGTGGACTGGTGTTTCTCACTCATCACGCATGCGTGAATTTTCTAAATGTCTTTAATAATTTTTTATTGTTTTTAGGTTATTATTGTCATTATCTGGTTGGAAGCAGCCATCTTATCTTGCTTTTACCTTGGTCACAATCGTGTTTCAACCTCTTTGTTGTGGCACATATACTATATGCACAGGTGGCGGCAACAAATGATCGGTTGTTAGTCAGTGTTTTTTGCCTTTCTGTCTTTCTTTCCTCAGACATTGTGGAGCCTTTTTTGACAGCAGATCGCATGTAGCATACGCGACCACACTCCGGTGCAGTTCGTCCACCTTTTCACCAAGGTTTTGGCATAGCCATTGCCAACTGGGAACTCTGCATGCACTTTCGTGCCAGCTGTTGTGGTGGCAACCACCTTGCAGCTGCTGTCTGTGGTTGCCTTTTCTTCCTTGGGATCTGCTTTCAGAGCCTTGCCTGCAGCTGCGTCGTTTACCTTGTAGCGCCTCAATGCGCCGCTCGTCAAGGAAGAAGAAATTGGCATTTGGGCCGCGCGGCGGGTGCAGCGCGATAATAAAAAAAAAATCAGTTCAAAAACTGAAAGCTGTCAGGGCTGGATCTTTCCCGTGTTAGCTGCGACAGTTAATGGTGACCCGATAAAGAACACACAGCCCCGATCATCCCGCATGGATCCCGCCGGCTCTGCCACCAATCCTACCGGTCCTGACGCCCAAGAAGACACCAGACCTAGCGGTGCTGCAGTCGCTGCGATTCAAAATGTCATCCTGCCACTATTTTGGCCCAACAGCCCGAGTACATGGTTTCTACAGGTCGAGGCGCACTTCCGTCTACGGCAAATCACCAGCCAACAGACCAGGCACTGGCATCTGGTATCGCGCTTACCTCCGAACGTAGCCGACGACTTAGCTGATATTTTAGCGTCGCCGCACCTGAGCCATCCCTACGAGACGTTGAAGGCAGCTATAATTCCCCGCAAGTCTGAGTCCGAACACAGCAGACTCTAACAGCTCATCACGGCTACAGAGCTCGGTGACCGTCGCCCATCACAGCTCCTGCGACGCATGCGCCAGCTCCTTGGCGACCCCCCTCCGCCCCTCAAGAGGAGCAACTGTTACGTGAGTTGTTCCTCCAGCGCTTATCGCAGAGCATGGTCCCGGTCCTCGTAGCTGCAGGAGATGTCCCAGTAGACACACTCGCTGAAATGACTGACTGAGTGGCGGACTACTCTCGGGCACATAGCCTCAACGCCGTTACCACACCGCCACCGGCCACTGCTGCAAACCCGGCGCTCGCGAGCATTGAGAACCGTTTGGACGCCCTCGTCAGGCGCCTCGATGACTTTGTACCTGCGCATCGTCAACCGTCATCCAGGTTCCAGATACACAGTCGCTCCTCGACGCCCCCACGTTCTCCGGAACTTCGGCCACCCGACGCGCCGCGGGACGTTTCATCCTCAATCGTGTGTTGGTACCACCGCCGATTCGGTGCCTCTGCTCGCAAGTGCACTCGCCCGCATTTCCCGTGCTCCTGGTCGGGAAATGCGATGACCGGCCACTGACGGCGGCAAGTGGTACTGGTCGAAAGTCATGCCGCCTTTTCTATGTTTCCGATAAGATCACTGGCGCTTCCTTCCTAGTCGACACAGGAGCCCAGGTTAGCGTCATCCCGGCCTCGTGTGCAGATCGCCGTCGCAACGAACAGACCTGCCCACTCCAAGCGATCAACAATTCCGCCATTTGCACATACGGCCAACGCTCTCTTACACTTGACCTTGAACTGCGCCGTACGTTCCGCTGGATTTTCATCCCCGCTAATGTCTCGCAAGCTGTTCTTGGAGCTGACTTCCTGATTTTTTTTAACCTTGCTGTGGACATGTATGCTCATCGCCTCATTGATCTCAACACCCGCCTCTCCATCAACGGTGTACTCTGTACTTCCTCACCAACGGGACTGCGAGCTCTCACACCTGCTTCGCCGTATGCAAAAATACTCGACGACTTTCCCAGCATCACGAAGCCGCACACCAGAGAGTCACCGGTGAAGCATTCCATCACTCACCACATTGTGACCACTGGACTTCCCGTTTGTAGACGACCCCGTCGACTATCTGGAGAACGCCTCGCCATCGCCCGCCGTGAGTTTGAGCACATGCTTGAACTCGGCATTGTGCGGTTTCCTCTAGCAACTGGGCGTCGCCACTCCACATGGTGCCGAAGAAAGATCCTGGCAACTGGAGACCATGTGGGGATTACTGCGCTCTCAATG